AAGATCACTTTGATTTCATAACCTACTGTAACACAGCCCCTACCTTGTGGGGTGGTTCCCTTAATGCTTTGCATCCGGTTGCGTCACAGCAATCGTAAGGCTGAAAATTCGGGCTGCGGGTTATGTAAGTGGCCACTCGGCCAGGCGTGCAATGCAAAGGCTGAGTGTGCATATACACTTGTGAGCAGTGACAAGACTCTGCCTCCCCTTTGAAAAGTTATTTTGCATAACCTTTTTTAGCTTTATTGCCATTTTCCTTGCTCAGACTCCATAGCATCTCTATGTAGTAAAAAAAATTGGTACAAGAAAATAAATGTAACGTTATTTTTGTCATATTAATTTTTTTTTTTGTAGTTTTCAATTTTCTTAAACAACCTGCGTCACTGGTCACAGCAGCCAGGAATACAATGCTGAGCTTGGAAATGACATCCTCAAAGGAAGCTCTTCCAGTCATGGCTTACGCACATCACATTCTACATTTATCGATGGGAATACTGCAAAATCCACTTTTAAACACCAAGTGAGTCTTAATACTCCATGAGTTATGCACTCGTTGTGAGTCTTTTCCTTCACTGTCACCTTCGCTCATGACGGCAATTTCGCACCACCCGACCCTTGGCCATTTTGTCCCATAATGGGATCTTTAGGTCACCTGACCCTTGTCCCAAGTTTTTCCATTACACTTGGATCATAGGGTGTTAAAAGCAGCATTTTTTTTTTTTTAACTATTATTATTATTATTATTATTTAAGTATGTTTTTATTATTATTATTATTATTGAAATAATAATAATAATAATTATTATTATTATTATATTATTATTATTATTATTATTATTTCATGTAATTACCTTTATTTTTCAGTTAGCAGAGTTGCTAGCAGCCCAGAAGCAGCAGGCTGAGAGGGAGAGAATTGAGTTGTTGCAGAACTATATGCTTCAACAACAAGTTTACCAGCACCAAATGGCTATAAGGTAATAATCAAGTTTGGTTTCTTTTTGGTTGATATTAGAAGTTCACAATTCCCTCTCTGTACATGTATAGTTGATCCTCCAATAACTCGGTAACGTAGACTGGCATTCGTCCATATCATTTGTTTCACAGTACCTGTTGAGTGTTTCCATTGTAGGAGATCATTCCTAAAAGTTACTAGATATACTGGGTGTTCTCAATCCCAGGTATTACCTGCCAACTTGCAAGTCAGCCTTATGTTTAGCGTTACGAGTATTTCTTCATGAACCCTAAAAGTACTCTTAATTGGGGAGCTGCATCCAACGTTAATATTTCACCGAGACTCGATTTCCAAGAGCACTTCCTGCAAACAAATGCTGTACTTTGTAGAAGATTACAACAGCAGAATTGTTAACTTCTTCTTCATATAGCTCTAATATTAATCATCCTGAGTAATGTTTGCACCATTGATTGCAGTTGTTGAGATGCCCCCCCTCCCCCTGCACTACAGTTTCAATGTCAGAAGCGAACTTAACCCAGTAACGACGGGTGTCCCACATATGAGACACCCGAATAAATAAACATTACCGGGTGTCCCGCCAGTGTGATGCTGTATCGGGGCTTGCGCTCCAACGCAGCAGCGGGCCGCGGGCAGAGTCCAGGCCAGCCCCGTGCGCTGATTTTGTAGCCGCCCGGAAGCTTTTGTTTTCGGCTTCAAAATATACCGGCGGTAATGGGTTAATAGGAGCTACTTTAATTCTAAATCTGCACTTATTATAAGTATACATTTTCATGTGTGTCAGAGCATTCGCTTGGCCACTTTGTAAAAAGGAGTAAATATGAGATAATCACATGAGATCATTGGATGTGATGCTAGCAAGAGAAAGAATTTGGTGTAATAGGCAAGGAATGAATGTCCCTGGTAGATATGTTTGTGTATAATTTGTATTATTATGTACAGCTTGCATGCTTACTGAGACTTTCAACCTTCTGAATCAAGTAATACTGTAATTAGTTAAAGGGGGTATGATAATTTCCTGAGTAATATATACCTTTGCAACAGTCAAATGATTGTTTAGCTCCTTTGAAGATGGAGTTGGCATCATGAATCCATAAGTTCTTTGAAGGTATCTGTTCCTGAAAACACCTTTGGTTTCCAGCCGTCAGCAGGTTCTGCAGAAGCTTCAGAGCATGGATGAGTGGAGCAGCCTCAACCAACTGCAGCAGCAGCAGCTCTTCATGCAACACATGATGAGCGTGCTGCCAGCCCATCCCCCTGTGCCCCCAACGGTACCCCCCTCTACCACACCCCCGGCAGCGATACCCACCACAACTCAGGTGTCAGCGGCCGGGCCTGATCCCAGAGTCATGCCTGGGCATGTGCCTCCGCCCGTCTCCAAACCTCAGGACCCCATACAAGCTTTGGTTGCACAAATGGTAAACCAAAGGGGCTTCAGGGACATTTTACCCCAGAAATTGCTTTTCGGAGATTGAGTACTTGGTGGACAGAAATGCCAAAATCTTTGCTCCTTTCTCTGAGAATAGTTTGAAAAGTAAAGATATTGTTTATACAAATAACATGTCTTAGTAAAACAAAATAAGCACAGCCATAGATTGAAGGCAGTTAAACATTCACTCATAGTGATTTTCATTATGGTGCTTTTCTATAGTTAATAAAGGGATGGTCATGCTAGTCTATTCTGTCCAGGGATCCCTTTACAGAGTGGGAAACTTCTCCAGCTGTGATGGGAACCAAGATTAAAAGCCCTGCCTAGAGTGATAGTGAAGGATATCCACTATGTTAGTCTTTAGGCCCAGATGGAGAAGGAATGATGATGTCAACACAAAAACTGTAGTATATTTACTAGGAAGCTTATTACTTAGTTTCTAAACGGCGGTTATTATAAAAAAATTATGTATAATAGTACCATACAAATAAGTAATTTATATTATAACTAACAATGATGCCTTACTAAAATTCCAAAGATTATCCAGTCAAACATTCATTTGCCAAACACACACCTACTCTGGCACACTGAAGACACGGTGCTCATTTCAGACGTTATTTACTCCCTGGTGAACAAAGTGAGAGCCAGAGAACAATATCATGGAATACAATTCACAAATATCATGATTGCAGAAAGTTCAAAATAACAATAGTGTAGGAAATCAAGAAGAAACTTTACTTTGCATGGGGCATAATTGTACAGCTAGCAGGGCTGTCATGATTGATAATTAGTAAGAATTTACTCAATTTTCTTATAGTATTTACTTTCAATTTAAGCTGTGTCATTCCATAATTATGTCTCATACATTACTGATTACACTAATAGCGGGAAATGCTATTGGAAAGAATATTGTTGAATATTTGTGTTAATAGTATTAAAAGGAAAATACATTTCTACCTATTTCAAGGAAGGGGGGGAAGTCAAGCATAATCACAGCTATTTCAAGGAAAGGGGGGAAGTCAAGCATAATCACAGCTATTTCAAGGAAGGGGGGGAAGTCAAGCATAATCACTAGTCTGATCTGAGTGCATGTTGAGCTTCCAATATGTAAAAAAATGTGTAAAAAACTACATGGGATAGCACATGAATCTGTAGCCATTGGGTTAAAATATGGGGTATTGGGATACGTGACATGGCTGAGCGCATGTGGAGCCATCTATATGGAAGAAAATTTATAAAAAAAAATACAGGGGGAGGTTATTGTAGATGCTTCAGTCTCTTCTCGAAGGACGTTTCTCTACAGGGAATATTGTGTAGTGTGGCCAGTCCCACCCTGTGGCTGACAGACACTCGGCATTGCTATCTAGTGATCCCAGTACAGACGAGACTAGTGTAACCTCAGCTTATAAGAGTAATTACAAACACAGTTATTGTTCTTATGAAGTGATAAATACCTCACGTCTGCTTTTCCAGTGCAGATATGGTATTTTGTTTCTAAGTGTGTCAAGGTAACTTTGTTTTTCAATCTTGAAATAATGTTCAGATTTTATAGTGCTGAATGATTAAGGGGAGGTGTAGTTTGATTACATTTTTCATGTGTATATGTTATATATATATATATATATATATATATATATATATATATATTATATATATATATATATATATATATGTATATATATATATATATATATATATATATATATATATATATATATTATATATATGTATATATATGTATATATATATGTATATACTTATGTATATACATATACATAATATATATACATATATGTGATATACAGATACACACATAAGCATAGATACACATATATACGCATAAATACACATAGATACACATAGATACACATAGATACATAGATAAACACACACACACACACTCACACTCACACACACACTTACACTCACTCACACTATATGTTGATTACTTCTATACATTTTTCTTGATATGTAACTTTGTTTATATTCAGTATATATGTGTCTGTGTGTATGAGTTTATATGTTAATAAGAGTTAGGAAATGAAATATCAGAATTTGAAATACCCAGATACTGAAAAAAGAAGAAAAATTATTTTTATTCTTGGTCTGAAAATTGCAAAAGTGTCACTTTTTTTCAGCAAACATCTTCGGCTGCAAGCAGCACAGCCATGACATCTTCAGATGGATTACCAACATCACAGCTGACAGCAACATCAATGGCAGCAGAAAATCCTCTCCAGAAGTTGTTAATGCAACTTCAGCGCGGCCAGCAACCGGGCATGGGACCAATTGTGCCTCCTAGTGGCCCACTAGGGGTGGCTGTCTCTGGAGGTGCTGTGCCAGGAATGCCTGCTGCAGGTATTCCCCTAGACAAGCCCCCAGAACAGCAGTTTGATGCTATCCAGTCCTTGATGCAGCAGCTGACCAAGATGCAACCTCCCACTCCAGAACAGGTGAGGAACTGCAAGACAAGACACTATGGGTAGGGGTTTAGTGCTAAAGAGGTATTTATAGGTATAAAGTATAGGAAAAACAGAGAGTTATAAGATGTAAAAGGATGTATTAAGATGTGTAACATGACAAATAACATTTATTCTTTTCCCATTCAAGGAAGAGCAGCAGAGAAGACTTGAGGAAGACCAGAAGCGCATAGAGGAAGAGCGGAGACGCCTGGAGGACCAGAAGAGAGTTGAGGAGGAGATAAAGATGGAAGAAATGAGGTAGGTAAAGTTAATGAGAAAAAAGGAAGAAAAGATAATGTTTGAAAAACTGTTACTAAAGGATGATGGAAGAAATGAGGCTATGTGCATCCTAAGGTGTTCTCACCAATGCCCTGAAAGCATGTTTATTAAATGTGCTAGTTTAAATTTCATTTATAATACAAGCGTCAAAATGTAGACTTAAAAGAACTAATAGACTGGCATTAATGACAGACAGAGATAAAGAAGGTAACGAGAGAAATACAGACGCTTTTGCAAATCATGTGATTTTACAGTGCCTTGAAGCCATATTCCTTTTTCCTCTTTCAACAGACTAAAAGAGGAACTGAAACGCCAAGAAGAGCAGCGAAGAACTTTGGAAGCCCTCCGTCGGCAGCATGAAAAGGAGAAAATGAGGTTAGAAGAGGAGAGACGGAAGATCAAAGAAGAGCAGATTAGGAGACAGGAGGAAATAAGGAGAATTGAAGAAGAAAAGTTGAGGAAAGAAGAAGAGGAGAAGAGAAAGATCCAGGTAAGTGTGTGAGCAGCAGCAGTAGATGGGCTGCAAGGATAATTATGGTTTAACCCTTTGGATCTGGTTGCATAAAGGAAATCACGGAGCTGGAAACCCAGGCAATGGATTACATAAGTGGCCATATCCAGGCGTGCAGTACGTAGCGCGGTAATTAACCTACCTTTTTTAGTTTTAGCTTTATCACCATTTTCTAATGTACATATTTGTCTTTTGATTTGCAGATGGAAATCTTTCAGACTCCATATATCTCTTATGTAGTAAATAACTCAGTGCAAGAAAAAAAAAAAGGAACATTTAGTTATTTGTGTCAAATATCTCATTTTTTTGTAATTTTCAAATTAGAAACTGCCACCTGTCACAGCGGCTAGATATACAGTGCTCAACATGGAAATGGTGTCCTCTCTGGAGGCGGCACACTTCCTGTCTCTGCTTGCACATGTTACATTCCACATTTGTTTATGGATGGGAATAATGCTAAAGCCCCCTTCTAAGTGCCAAATGAGTCAAGGCAGTTCATGACACCAGGGCCGTGGCCAACTTGCCCATTTGATGGCATGTTCACATCACCTGCTCCTTGGTGCAAGTTTTTTCCGTGATGTGACTGCAACGTCATGCGGGTCCAAGGGGTTAAGGGAAGAAGCCAGGAAAGAATGGAGACCATGACTGGAGGAATTTTTGACAGGACTTTGGGGAAGATGTAATTAGCTTAAGTATTTGGTGAAATTATACGTGTTGAGAAGTAAGGCTAATGCAAGGAACTGTTTTTAACAAGGAAGTTTGGTCCTAATCTAATTTAGCTCTCATCTTCCGTGAAGGACCAGCAGAGAGCAGCTGAGGTGAAGCGGAGGCAGGAGGAAGTGCGTCAAGAAGAGCTGCGACAGGAGGAGCTTAGGAGACAGCAGCAGCAGAAGCAAAAGCAGGAAGAAGCTACTAGAAGGAAAGAGGAAGCAAGAAGGAAAGAAGAAGCAAGACGCCAGGAAGAGGCAAGGAGACAAGAGGAAGAGAGGAGACGGCAAGAGGAGAGGAGAGGCAGCAAGAGGAGGAGAGGAGGAGGCAGGAGGAGGAGAGAAGAAGGTAACAGCCAGTTATGAACTGCATTTTCCATATTTTCTGATTTACACAAACTCCTTTTGCATTGAACCATGGTTGTCTACAAACATTATTCATGATGATATCACAAAATAAATTTGTCTTTCAAAGATACTTGTGAGAAAGATTCTTGCACTTAGGAGGGAGGGGAATAACAGATTCACTATCTTATGTATTGGCAGTAACCTGACTGGGATGCTAATAGAAAATTCTATTCCTGAGTCATGATTTTGTACTCTTTTTATGAGAGTTTTTTGTATTTGATAGCAGAGATTTATTCTCAAGTGGCTCATAGCTTTTTGGGTTGGTAAAACATAGGCAAATTTAATAGGTTATGTGTGTGTGATACAACTAAAAAAGTTTGGCATCCAACAGACGTGAGGAGGAAGAGGAGGCACGACAGCAAGCCCAGATTCAGGAAGAGATGAGGAGGATTGCTCTGGAGGAAGAACGCAGACACATGCAACAGGTCCGTGTCTCAGGTTGCTAGGGGCTAGGGGCTCTCATCTAAAGTTTAAAGCCATTTTTACATGTGCCCAAGGGTAGTGACAGTGATTCAGCAGTTAATGAGAAAGTTCTCTCTGCAGATAGAAGAGGAAGAACGCAAGCGCCAGGCTGAAGAGGAAGAGAGGCGGCACCAGCATCTCCTGCAGGAGCACCTCAAAAATATATTACCAGCATGGAACAAACCACCTCCAGTGGCAACACCTGAGGCTGCACCTGCACCATCTCTTGCAGATATTCAGAGAGCGCAGGAAGAGAAAGAGAGAAGGGTTAGTATCCCTTAAGCTCAGCGATATTAATAATATCATCAGTCCCCATTTCTGAAGTAATGTCTTTTTGAGGTGAAAGAATGTGCCTTATTGAGCTGGAACATTAACTGCTAGAATTTCCTTGTTGAACGTGATACTCTATTGCAGTTTTTGATGATGGAGCTTGTAGCAAAAAGCCTGAATAGGATATTGGAGACCATATAGGCAGCTGATTATTAGAATGGGCAAAGTGAAAGCATTGTTGTGGTATGAAGTGCAAATATTAAAAATGAATGTTTGACACATGGTTATGTATGCATATGAAAGTAATGTTATAAGATGGAAATATTTAAAGTGAATGTTACAGGTATTCATGATAATGTTTAGACATAGTCATGTAACGATCATACTTCCATTATCATTAGGAAAGTCTTTTTTCTCTCCACAAAGCTTGACATTGAGGGGCTGATATCTAGAACTAGATCAGGAAATAGCGGAAAAAGGTTGCAAGGTTCATCTTTATTTCTCCTTGCAGGAGCGTGAGATGGAGCAACAGATGCAGCAACAGAGACAAAGAGAAGCACAGAGACAAGCAGCCGAGGAAGCCAGGCAGAAGAACGCAGGGTTAAAGTGGGCAGCTCGTGCTCAGGCCAATCCAGCATCACAACAGCCTGTCAAATCCCTCTTAGAGATCCAGGCTGAGGAGGAGAAGGAGCTTAAGAAGGTCAGTCAGAGGATACTCACAGGTCAAGAAATTGTAGCCATAGATGATAATGACAATGGACTCTTGTCATCATAAGCTTTTGTTATGTTATTGTTATTATTAGTGTCATCCTGTCCTCTCTAATTTGTCTAAATATTATGCTTAGCATTGAACCTGTTGATATTTCTTGATGTTAGAAGCATTCCATGAGGACAGCCCTGTCCAGAAGTAACTTATCATGAGCAAATTCCAGAGAAACTATAGCTTTTCTCACTTTTATACTTAATTATGCCCCAACAGAGACAGGAGAAGGAGGCTGCCGAACGTGCAGCTGCTGTCAGCCACCTGAGTCTGGGAGCTGCAGGTGTTTGGGGGTCAGCCATGTCCAACCTCTCCTGGGCCAACCGTGCCTCCACGGCTGCTCCCTCACCCTCACCCAACAATATGTCTAGTCAGCAGGTGAGCTCAAGATGTTCTCTGTAAACAAAAGGATTCTTTGAAGTATGCAAAGAAAACATTGCTTAAACATGCCAGTCGTGATGTTCCTTGTGTACATAACCATTTACAAAAGCATTTTTTGCAGTGGGGGGGAGCGAATGGTGGGCATCTTGGCTCAGGAAATCAGTGGCACAACAATAGTCAGTCTTCAACCACAACCAATGTAGGTCACTCAGTGTGGAATAAGGACCATTCTTCCATCTGGAACCAGTCAGAAACTCCTGCCTCTGCAGGTAAGTATACACTGGTACTATGATAGGCAGTTAGGTAAACAGACACACGCATGCACACATACATATGTATACAGGCCCACACAGGTACACGTATATGTACGTACGCATGCACACACATCCAAGGTACACACTCGCTCACACACACACACTCACTCGCACACACACTCACTCGCTCTCACACACACTCACTCACGGCCCTCACACACACACCCTCGCACACACACACACATCGCTCTCGGACACTCACACTCACACTCACAGGCACACACTCTCTTACACACACACACTCGTCATGCACACACACACACATGCACACACACACACACACACACATGCACACACACACACACACACACACACACACACACACACACACACACACACACACACACACACACACAACACACACACACACACACACACACACACACATACACATGCACACACACACACACACACACACACACACACACACACACACACACACACACACACACACACACACACACACACACACACACACACACACACACACACACACACACACACACACACACACACACACACACACACACACACACACACACACACACACACACACACACACACACACACACACACACACACCACACACACACACACACACACACACACACACACACACACACACACACACACACACAACACACACACACACACACACACACACACACACACACACACAGCACACACACACACACACACACACACACACGCACACACACACACACACAATACTTACAAGAAAATGCTTACACACACAAAAACAACTATGCCTTTATACATCCTCATATACATATTCATATACTTTCATATATGTACACATTCATATGCATATACATACATTGCCTCCAGTACCTGATGCAATTGGCATGCTCTCACCCAGCAGGTGGATTCTGGGACAACCCAGAGCCAGTGAAGGTTAACAAGGCTGTGACATCGACGGGTCGTAATCCTGGGAAGCCAAACACTCAGAATCCTGGGAGCAAGCCTGGGGCTCCTGCACAAAATACAAATAATAACCGAGCCAGCAAGAAGAAGGTGAAAGATGAGAGTGACAACGTTAAAAAATTATTTGCTGACAGCATATCTCCGGCTGATAGTTTCACTCAGTGGTGCAAAGGCTCACTCCACACTATGAAAGTGCATGCCTCCATTGACAGTAAGTACAAATGGTGTTTTAGAGGGGTAGTTTTTTTTTATAGAGGAATCCAGGAACTTTGCAACTTCCAAACTTGGTTAACTCTGGGGTGCCAGATAAACTGACATCAGGATTTCTAAATAATCTATACATGCTCAGGCTGTCTTTGTGATTGCCTTGGCAAAACAAGCCTGTTCAAGCAAAATTAATTACTTGTAAATCATTGAGGCATCTTCATCAACTTGACACCAAATGGTTTGTTCAAAGGGTTGGTGCAGATGTTTTTTTTTAATGAACCCCATACATACACAGACAGGACTTCCCATTTATATGCTCAATAAATGAACTGGCAGCATTAATTTATTTGAATGGGCTGTCCAATCATCTGTACAGTAAATGAACAAGCAACATAAGTGTGCATGGGAACTCTGTAGATGGACACAATTCATAAATTGTAAATAATGGCTGTAAGTGGAGGGGCACCAAGACCCAATCTAGCGTCTAGAGCGCTGATTGGCAGGCAGTGAGAAAGACCATCTTCCCTCTATTATGCTATATTAGGCATTATCTTTTTTAAGGGGTTAATCTCTTAAAAATCTTTAGATGCATTTGATATTTAAAGAGGTTCCTTCTCTTACCTTTAGACTTATTCCATGGAAGCGTTGATGGATACTATCTTAAATTTAGGAACTTGCACAAACCTGTAGTTTCTTTTATAAAGAAGTTAATGCAGAATGACAAATATAGCATGGCAAATGACTTCTTTACAGAAAGTACATTTCGTGTGGATATAGGTAAGGTGGAGGTGAAAATAAGGTCGATTTTCACAAGGAGGCTATAAGTAAGGAAATTGACTAATTGGCATCTCGTCTACGGCTTGCCTTAGCTCCACCCCATTTTGACAAAGCTGGGTATATGTATATACATATAAATATGTGTATATATATATATACATATATATATATGTATATACATATACATATGTCACATGAATAATCCATGCTTTCCCGCCTCACTTGACCTGTCAAAATGGGGCTGGAGCTATGACGTCACCTGAGTGGCGCCATACGGATTGTTACGGATTGTTTTTCATTTTTTATTCATCATCATTATCAGTATAAGGAGGGCAACAGGAAATCTACACTTTTATTTGAGCATGCGAATCTTTTTTTATTATGTGTTACTACAGAGCTCAATGGGGATAATGCTACCTCCCTTTTAGATTCCTTGGGTTTTCAAACAAAAGCATTTCATTTTGTAATGTGTCTGAAGTATTTTAGAGTGGAGTTAACATCTTGGATTATGGAAAGAAGAGAATACAATGAATAATACAGTGCATTAACGAATTATGTAGAATATGTTAATTACTTCCATCTCAACCTCAGTATCTTAAGTTAAGGCATAGGATGCTAAAAGTTATTGTATTTCATCCTGTAGTTGTCTAAATCACAGTTGTGTTCCAAAACATTAGAGGTAGATGTCAACTCAGATTCAGGAGTTAGCACTCATTAACTTTTTGTTTTCTTACAGGCTTTTGGATTACAACTTTAAGTGTATTATGAAGTATGGAATAGAGCATAGAAAAAATTAACTACTTTCTGTTCCAGTTCCAACATTCGTGACTTTTCTCTCTGAGGTGGAGTCCCCATATGAAGTCCATGACTACATCCGTTCATATTTAGGGGACAGCAAGGAAGTGAAGGAATTTGCTAAGCAATACCTGGAACGGCGAAGTAAAGCTCGCAATGCACAGAAGGAACGGGAGGTGGAGGATGATATCCTTGCTCCTGCTCCTGCTGTGAATCCAACCAGCACAGAGTTCCAGGAAGTTAAGGTAAGAAAGTGATTTTATACTCTTCTGCCATGTAACTCAATTTCAATTCATGTCTATAGTCACATTTCTCAATACATGTTCTGGATTTGTTATGAGGAGCCTTCCTATCACCCTCCCCTTAGCCTAATTTTTGTCCCAGGACACCATTTGCTCTTATTTTAGTTTTCAGCAGATTTGCCAGTGTAACCTGTTGCTCATTCACTTTTTCTGCAGGCTCGAAGCAAGAAGGCCAATAAGAAGAAAATGCAGAAGGTTGACAACAGTATTCTTGGATTCAGTGTAACCTCCAATGATCGCATTAATGTTGGGGAGCGTGACTATGCAGACTAATGGCGGGTTGAAGTTGTGATAGCAATGAACAGTGATTGGGTGCTGGAAGTGACTGAGACGGGATTATAACCTTTACCTTGTGGGCCCTTCACCCTCAGGGATGCCTGGCTGTAACATGTGGCTGTGTTTGTACCACATCATGTTGCACACTCAAAATTAAAGAAAATCTGTTTCATTGATATTTTTTAGAGTTTTTTCCCCTTGAACAAATGTTAAAAGCAAAACAGGGTGAGGTGGCAATCAGTCTCC